CCTATATTCGCCTGCAAAGCCCCTAGAACATCCGGCACTCCCCCCCCCATCCCTCCCAAGGGCAGCCAGGCGCTGGCTCAACCTCCAACCTCCGTCTTTCCAGGTAAACGACCGTTACCAAAGCGTGAAAGCCTCGACCGGAATCTCACTTCAGACTCGCTTCCTCCTCGACCTTCAAGGGATGCCGACATGGCGGTCAATGGCAATGCAGTCAAGGAACCAGCTGCAGATAACCCCCTAGGACCTTGGGAGCCTACGATCACAAACGTCATCCCGTCAGAAGAACTGACTAAACTGATATGTGACTTTTTGTTCCAACAAGTTGTCATGCGCAAAGATATCGGAGCCGGCCCAGCTGGGGGCATGGCTGTTGGGTCGGGGGCCATTCTCGAGGTCGAAGCCAAATTGGGCAGACTGATAGACAAAAGTCGGGGTGAGAGGCTACGTCTTCCCATCCTCTCAGAAACCGTCATCAGCAAAGACGACCCCAATCTGAGGCTAGCCTTTGAAAGTTCAATGTCACAGGTAATTTCATTTCCTTCATCTTCCCACCACTTTTATATCTCAGTGTTTTGCTAATATACCTTTTCTCGCATAATCCAGGCCCAACACCGGGCGATGAACAACTTCCTCAACGAGGCGGTCAAAACATCCATATCCCAAGGGACAGCACGCATCCCGCTCGCCTATGCTCACAAACGTGAACGAGATACATTCTACGACATCTCTGCCAACGACCTCCCCCCAATCGTCCAACATCATCTACACCCACGCCACAAGCCCAGGGTGAGGGTAACCACAGACGTGCGCACAGGAGCCGTCATAGCCCGTATCGTCAAGTGCCGTATCGCCGACCTAGACGTTTACAGTCCGCGAACGTGTCTTGACTGGCGCATCAGTGTGAACCTCGAAATGAACTACGATGGAGACCTAACCAAGTTGCAGCAGACAAGCGATTGGAAACGAAGCGGTGATCGAAACAAAGACCGCATGAGCTACAGACATCTGGCATACCAGATAGACCTAACGCAGGTCGGAACAACAGACGTACTTCTTTCTCTTCCTTCCCAACTGGTTTTTTCTTTTCCACCGAATCTCTGTCTAACGATATATCTATAGAGCACCCCTGCAGACTTCGAGCATGAGCTTGAAATCGAAATATCCTCAGCGGAAATCCGACGGCAAGGTGACCTCGCTCTATCCGGAGACATGAACAACCAGTACGAAGACCTCATCAAAGGCTTTGTAGACAATATCCGAGTTCTTGCCAGGGCCGTGCCAGGCTAGTCAATCGATGAAGAATATGTACTTGCAACCCAGCATGAAGAGAACCGTTCAAATGAGAAGAAGGGGTTAAAGCGAGAAGGAGAAAACACCGATTTCTTACTCATCACTTTGTTTTACCTTTTTATTATGATGACTACCATTAATTTGATACCATGCAGCAGCATATTTATTATAGCATTCAATAGCCTTTCTTGTATTGTATTATTTTCAACCTACTCAATAACTGGATAGGGAGAAGGAGGATACCTACTAAAAGAAAACTGATTAGTTTTATTATTTTCCCATCTTTCCTCATTGCGTCCCGGTTTTTTTTTCTATTACATTGGCTGCCAGGCTGATGGGAGTAAAAAATGACTTTTTTAATTTCCTTGAGGAGTAGATCTGTATGTGTATGTATGTAGGGACACTAATTCAGACAGCCATGAGCGTGAGCTTGAGCTCCAGAGAGAAGGAAAGAGAAGGAAATAATAGTATTGACAGGGAAAATGAAATAAACCGTACATGTCTCATGGAAAATCAAAATCAAAATCCAACAATTATCTAAAAGAGAAAGCAAATACCAGAGCAAATCACACGTCCAGGGAGTTATAAAAAGCAAAAACAAGTCAAGATGGTGAAATACGCGGGCAGATCAAAACCAAATCCGCGAGAAACTCCAGAACGGCTGCAGGACATGAATAAAATAGATAAATAATAAAGATGAAGGGACATGGTCAATATATCAAGTTGTGTCGAAGTCCATACAGAGGAACATATTACTATTGTAAGTTCCCTTCATTCCGTCCATCCTGTACTCCTTGACAGGAAAGGGTAAAGGGGAATAGAAAGCCGTTAAAAGGAGGATGGTTCGTAAATAAAACAGAGAGTATATGGCGTGCTCCGCGCGTACATAAAGTATAAAGTATTCCACGGGTAGTGACATCAGTCCCTGAGAGAAAAGGCGGTTGATAAAGATATCAGGATATGCCTAGTCCCATTTTAACGGGTATAACTCCAGTATTCTGGTCCTGGGTATCGGTAGTGCTAGCCCCTCTCTCTCTCATTCGTCTTCCTTCCATAAGTCCTCTAAGACCACGCTTCTGCAAGCCTACCACGCTGCTGATATTAGCTGTCCAAACTTCTCGGCTGACCCTCATTCGGCCGCGTTGGTCATGCTGTGCTAGCTCGGCCTCAGGATATCCTAGACCACCGCTACTATTGTTGGTAGATGCAGAGTTGGGTATACTAGTGTTTTCAGCTGATTCGGCGCGGCTCCTTCCGTTACTAAAGTTGGTATTGATACGAAGGTTTGCGGGTCGTTGAGAGCTCGAGGAACGTCCTGCAGTGCCACTAGAGACAGAAGCAGTACTGCTGGCGGTGTTAGGTCTGTCTATGGATTCGGCATCCGACGAATTGAACGAGCTTATGCCGTCTGCCGCTGTGCTTGGGCGACGGTAGTCTGCTACGCTTGACTGAGAGCGGGAGTGCGAGTGGCTGTAAGAGCGGGAATGTGTGTCGTGGAGAGAGTCCATAGTTCCGTCAAATGCGAGCGCAAGGTTGGTACCACGGCCTCCGCCAGCAGCCATGGCGGCAGCGTTGAAAACAGCAGCAGCGTTGCGGCCATCAAGGACTTGGTGAAGGCGTTCCACAGTGGCTTCGAGAAGGCCATCAACCTGGTATGGTCGAGCGAGTTGAAGGAGGGAGCAGAGGATTTGAGGGGTACAGAGTGCAGAGCCTACGGGTGGGAGAGAAGAGGTGTAGAGATAGTGAACCAGAAGCTGAATGGTGAGGTAAGTATGGGGTAAGTAGAGGGTTCGAGGCCGTACGGCTGGTGGAAGGCTGTGTGCAGATGGGATATCAAGATGAGATGCTCGGGATAAGCAAGAAGAGGCTGATGAAGAAGATCCTGGTGGCCGCCCACCGGTATCCTTATGACTGTTGACGTTGTTTATGGTTCCACCCATTGATGTATTGTTGCTGTTATTTGAAATGGTATTAACCAATGTTGTGGCGGTGGAGTACTGGCTGGCGGTGCTCAGGGATGGAGTGATGGTAATTGTCGAATTTCGACTGTTCAACGCAGTGTTGGGCTGTCGTAGCGTTGCTGCATCGTTGATACTATCTCCAGCTACTGTTGTAGCTTCGCAAAGAAGTTGGACAAAGTAAGGCCCCCATCGACGTGAAAGGACGTGAAGAACTGACGGGAATACGTTCCACCACCAATTGTAAGCAGGTCCATGTCAGCTAGCTCAGTACATGCTTGTGCCATTAGACCCAACTTCTCTGCCGCTGCCGATAAAGGTCGCCCGCCGGAACACTGTATTGAGAATTTTGGCTGTAAGGCTGGGCGCAGAGGAGGCGCACTCACGGACATATATCCTGATGTGGGCGCAGCTCTCCTGGGGTTTTCGTAGAGACCAAAGGCTTCCAGCTCGACCATGCATATATGCGAGAAGTTGATGCGGCGATGATTATAATCTTCTACAAGATTTCTCTTGCGGTGTCCCAGGATAACGAAAGTGCTTCTTCTGTTCCAGATAATACCACGGTTCCAGCTACCACTAGAGAAGATGGAGCCACCAGCATCGATTCGGCCCCATGTCATGGTCTTTAGGTCAAGCGCCCATAGAGCATATTCCTGTTTGGAAACAGTGAGATAGGTGCCGCTGACGACGAAATGGCCATTAATAACGCCGCCGTTAGGAAAACGTAGCCCCGGTGGAGAAACAGAGGTATCCATAGCCTTCTCAACGAGTTTCCCATCAGGAAGGCGAGCTTGAAGTTCCAATTTCACATCGAGGAAGTTATAATTTGAATAGATCAGCATTGACGAGCCAGGCATCCCTGCTGCGTCATGGCTGTTACTAACGTTTGCAATATCTTTATCAGTCCTTTCAGCGCCCAGGTCATTGACTGACATCCCCGCTAGCGGGACGACGACGGAACGGTATGCACCGCAACTGCGGCCCAGCGGGCTGGTGGCAGTCCATTTCAAGCTCCGAAGGTTGAACACACTTATTTGCTCGATGTAGTGATTTGAGCTATCCTGGCCGCCGACGACGACCATCTCAGCGCCTCCATAGCCATCTATCTCTACACCGATGGAGCCTTGGTGGGGGTTTGAAGCGGACGTTGACGGGTTGTTGTGTATAGCTGTCATAGGAGCATTGGCGGAAACGAAGGGCGCCGAAGACGGAAGGATAGTTGCGCAATGGGCGTATCGTCCCTGTGGAGTGTTTGCAGTATTGATATGGGTCCATGTCCTGGTTACGACGTCGTAAATGTGCACGTCTGACATGACGACAACTTCAGGCTGAGCTTCCTGCCCTGCTGAATGGGACGAACTAACGTTGGTAGGAGGGTGTCCGGCGACGGCTGATCGTGGGGACATGCCGCCGTAGCAGACGAGCTTAGTGTCGCCCAGCGGGCACATGCTATGAAAGTATCGTGGAGGAGGCACATCACCAGTGGGGTGGATTTTTGTCCAGTGCCGTTTGATCAGGTCTAGCTCGTAGAGGTCAGAGGTAAGCTCTGGTCGAGCTCTAGATAGTAGCCGGCCGCCAAAGACATAGAGTTTGTCGCCTAAGATCGTAGTTGTGGCGCCGACGAGGGCGTGCGGCTCTCGACCGGTGGTGCGGTGGACATTGCACACCAGACCCGAGAGATTTGTTGGGCCTGCAGTCGCACTCGTCCCATTTTGCGTCTGTTGCTGTTGCTGTGGTTGAGACTGTGATTGCGACTGAGAATGCGAGTGCATGGGCAAGCTACTACCGGTGATAGTGGTTTGGTTCCCGGCAGAGTCTCCTCCCCTGGAGGAGGAAGGGCGTCTGATGGAAGCCATGGAGGAAAAGTTAGGCGGTTCGCTTTCACTCAGTCGGGAGAGAATGGACGTTGGAGGATGTGCGAGGTTCGACAGTGCAGGCAATAGTGGCGAGGCGAGTAAATGTTCCTGCGAGCGTCCATAAGGTGAAGCAGGAGTAGGTGGTGGAGTTTGCTCAGTCGTGGGCGAGAGCGGCGGTGAGAGAGGTAGCGGGATACTGGTTGCCAAAGCAGAAGCAGGTGTAGAAGCAGACAAGGGAGTGGAAACAGGAACTGTCTGCTGTCGCGAAAGTGAGGATCCTCGGGGTCGTGGAAAGGGGAGGGGAGGCGTGGGCAGTGGGAGGCTGGCGTATCTGTCGTCTAGTAGTATCGAATGTAAAACCTCGGGCGAAGAGTCTGCGCGAAACCAAGACTGCGACGCAGGGAGAGTGGAAGAGCGAAGTCTAGCCTCTCCGGTTGTGCTCCTGGCAAGTCCTGGAGTTTCGCCGGTAGCGGGAGTCGTAAGGCTAACAGTCTCGTCGACGGAGAGAACGAACTCGTTTCTAGACTTGCTCTTGCTTCTGCTCCTGCTCCTAACGAGATCCGAACCTGATCGAAGGTACCTCTTCACAGAAGCGAAACGGCTCGAGCGCGAATTTGAGAGCGAGTGCGAGTGTGAGTGCGAGTAGGGTGATACATTTGGGGATGCAGGTGCAGGTGCGCCAGGCGTTGTACTCGTATTTGCATTGAACAAGGACAGCCTTGGGCCTGCTCCTGATCCTGATCCTGAAGCAGAGCTGGAGCGAGAGCCCAACGGCGAGGAGGACTGCTCGTAACCTGCCATGATGTCAGTGAACATGTCCAACCGGACGCCATGGTTCAAGAGAGACATGGCTGTATCTCTTATATATATACAGCTATCCCCTCCGCGCCCTTATGTATGCTCCATATATACGGCCCCCTTGCATAGATAGATAGACAGACAAGAGGAATATAAGGGAGGGGAAAGGCCAGAGATAGCCATTATAAGAGAGCGTTGGAGCGTTATATTCGAGCATAACACTTTTTTTTTTTTTCGTACAGGTAACAATCACCAACGTACGTACCTCAAGCAACCTGGACAATATTACCCTGACCCGGCCAGCGGTCTCGCCGGTACCATACCAGTCGAATTCCCACAGCGTCAGGTGTGCCTGGCAGACATAACCATGTACGTTAGTTTGCGGCGCGCTGAGAGAAGATGGAGAACAGAGAGGGAGGCGGGAGAAAAAGGAAGAAGACAAAGGATGCAGGCCTGGACGAACCAAGTGGGCGAGCCGAGCGGTCGACCAGGAACCCCAGGGCTATCTGAAACGCCGGGTGGGCCAGGAGTCGCTGGCAAGCTGTTGCTCTCGACGATGATCCGAATAACGCCCGCTAGATGACGACGTTGGCGAGCGATGCGCTGCGAAGACGCGGGTGCTGGAGTTGTTCGTTGTTTGTCGTTGCGGTCGACGTTGAATTTGAATTTGAAGTTGCGGCGACGTTGAAATTGACGTTGAAGGTGGGATGCTTGGCGCCTCGAGTTACCGCATTGGGGCATATTAGATATTAGGGGCGTGGGCGTGTGCCCCTGAGCAGCCGACAAGCGAGCGCCGACGAGGAGACAGACGAGATAGACGCGGAAATAGAGAAGACAAAGAGAAAAAAGAGAGAGAGAGAGAGAGAGTAGATGGCTAGCGAAGAGGAGTTTATTATTACTATTTTACATCCAATTACATACGCGAGTCTTCCTTGAGGGTAACGTATCGGAGGTATCTGCAGCAGTTAGTTAGCATATCTTAGTCCAGAGAGGCGCGCGGCAGAAGAGAACACTCACGGCTTGACTTCTCTGACCTGGCCAAACTTCTTGGAGGCATCCTGAGTGCTGACGAACGGAGGGACGATGACGTCGTCGCCCTTCTGCCAGTTGATGGCGGTGTTGACGGTGTTCCGGTCAGTGGTCTGCAGGGCGTCGACGCAGCGCAGGACCTCGGCAGTGTTGCGGCCGGTCGTGGCTGGGTAGCTCATGATCAGACGGATCTTCTTCTTTGGGTCGATGATGAAGACAGAGCGGATGGTCATGGCCATTCCTATATAAATTGAATAACTAGTTAGCATATGTTCCACTCTTGCAGTAGAGACAGAGATGTATCAAAGACTGACCCTTCTCGTCGACGTTGGTGGTGTCCTGGTAGTCGATCATGTCGTAGAGGTAGGAGACCTTGCGGTCCGCATCTGCAATGATGGGGAACTGGAGGCTGCAGCCGTTGACCTCGTCGATGTCCTTGATCCAGTCATGGTGCGATCCGATGCCGTTGGCAGACTAGTTGCGTCTGTTAGATCCCCCTGTGCATGAAAAACGAGCAGTTCAGGGGGAACCGTTACTACGCACCAGGCCAATGAGCTTGACACCACGCTTGGTGAACTCGGGCTCTAGTTTGGCAAAGGCACCCAGCTCCGTGGTGCAAGTAGGAGTGAAGTCATCCTGCCCAGTCCCAGCAGTCAGCAATTAACTAACTAGTTAACCAGCTTTCCAGGCCACCGCGAGCATCAACGCACCGGGTGAGAGAAGAGGATGACATAGTTGTCACCGATGAACTCGTGGAAGTTGATCTCGCCCTTGGTGGTGATGGCCGTGAAGTCGGGGGCGGTAGATCCCAGACGGAGGCTGCAGGATGGCTGGCTGTTAGTACAATCGATAAGATGCGGGGTGGCGGGAGGGCGGGCTTACGGAGCGCTGCGTTCAGCCATTATGTGCTACAGATGGAGATTGAAGAAGACGATGGCGCTGACGATGGAGTCGAAGATGATGATGAGCAGCAGCAGCAGAAGAAAAAGAAGACGATGAGAGGCAGGAGATGCAGATTGAAGCCGGCGAGATCCATATAAAAAGCACGCCGGGCGGCCCCTCGGATGAGGTAAGCAGGGACGGCCTCCCCCTCCTCGCTCGCTTCATCACGCCATCTTGGGCGCAAATACGAAAGCAGCGCAGACGCTGATTGATGATAAATACAGAAGGGCAGAGAAGCTGGCAGAGACGGCCGGATGGCGAGCGAGGGGAGGGATCAGGCTGTGATATCGCTTGATAGTGACCGTTAGTTGTCCTGCCACTACTCCTGGTGGTGGGAGAGGCATAGCTATAACTTGCTATAACTTGACTCTACATGTATACGCACGCTCAATGACACTCTACACCTGCATCACATCCGTAAATATGCCATCTCATGCATAAACGAGGTGTCTTTGCCTGCATCGTCGCTTTTCATCTCGAAAAATGCAATGATTAGCTCAGCATCTCGAAAAGGACATATATGTTCAGGCTGTCCTTCCTTCCACCCCCTAGCTGCCCCTCCCCTTGCTCCCAAATTCGCTGATCAACTAGTTAGGTTACTCCGTATTTATGGCACGCCGTACGGAGCGGTCACCCTCTGCCTTCTTTGCTTGCCCCAAGGCATGGTCATTGTATAGTATTAGTGCTCCGAGATGATTCCGATATTCAGCTCCAGCATGTCGACTCGAAATCCCTGCAAGCCACATCCGTCATCCCGTCCTGTCTATGAGGCAAGAGAGACGATAACATATGTGGATAATAAGGACCCCCAGGCTCTGTTGATCATTGATGATCCTCAGCATGCTTCATATACAACTCCACATTTGATAGCTGCCATTTCCAGTTTACTGCTAAGCAGCGAAGTACATAAGTATCTGTCGAAAGAATTCCAGGATGTTATGTATACACCCCCTATAGCAGGGACTTGATATCAGTCCCTATACGATATATTAGATATATCAGCTAGCCCATATCTCCTAGATCTTAAGATCTTCTAGGACACGTAGATCAATATTCTAGGTAGACTTGATTTCAGGAGTAGGTACCAACTTATATAACATGATGATCTTATAGCTATCAAATGGGAAGTATCAGAGTTGCAAATACGTATAAGAGAATGGAGTAACTGGCCCGGAGGGTTATATAATGGTAACTATCAAGCAGTGCAACTCCCCATTATTATTACTAGACTGATTGTCTACCCTCATGTTAGAAATCATGGTTTCTCCGTGATGGAGCTGTAATGAGACCCTGCTCGGGATCCAAGACTACCCCTGAATCATTTAGCAGCTGCTGGAGAGATTCCTCCAGGGAGTCAGTGGGGCCGCCGTTCACTCTTATTCTAATGTTTAAATCCTTCTAAGGGTAAGGAAGAGATAGTAAGTTTTATTTCGAACCTGGATGTATTCACAGTGTATACTTTTGTAAGGGCTAATGTAACTCTAGTCTAGGACTCTCTGTGCATCGTCTCAATGGGTGACATGATTCATGGATTTCATAAGAATAGAAATATAAAAGTAAGCTTCCCTTTCACTTTGGGGGAGAGACTTCGCATTGGTCCCAGTTGCCGTTGGACCTTGCGTAGGTCAATCCATTGATAAAGTCATCCAGCTTGCATCGTCCAAGGAAGTCGGTGTGACAACCTTGAAGGGGGATGACACGATCGTTGAGCAAGACACGGACGTACTCTTGCTTAGCTGATGGAGAGTGGTCACACACCATCTTCTCAAAATAAGCTCTGGCACCGAATGGAATGGTCCAGGAGGCAGAGTAGCCGGAAGCATCGGCAGGGTCGGTGATTTCGGTTGGGGAAAGAGGCTTGGTGGCGTTGAAAAGGCCCATGGCGGTGAAGATGACTGTCATGCTGTTGTCGTGGCTAAAATCAGCGTAGAGTGGCAGACCGAGTGGGAAGGTCTTGGGGTTGTCGTCTAGTTCGTGATCAACGGTTGTGTTGTCTCGGACAGGCGAATTGGTTAGTCGGGCAATGAGTTCGTTGACATAGCCGATTCCGGGAGCAGGGCCAAAGGAGTTCCCAGGTCCGTGGCCGTAAAACTTGCCCAGTGTCTCAAGGTAGTCATAGTGACGGAACTCTTCGTGTGAGAAGAGATGGCAGAATGGAGAGAGCTTGCTTGCATCCGGAGTGCGGGCTACAGTGTCAAAGGGGCACATGGCCATCAGACTCTTGATGTCTCCAATCTTGATGTTGGCTCCTGGTAGCTTCTTGTTGACTCTGTCCACAATAGGCTGGGTAAATGTGCTGCGGAACTGGTCGGTAACCTTGTCCGCCGTCTTGTCGTTATCAAATGCATCACAGCCTTGGGGAGCAATTGGGTTCTTCCGGCGATCCTCTTCGCTAATGATGAGATCGAGCTTGGTGGCCCCGCCTTTCTCACTTCCTTTAGCCTTATTGAAGCCCTCCACAAACTTGTGGGCTGAAGCAACCACCCGCTCAGAGCCTGCGGATCGGACAAAGACCTTGGAGTCCTTAGTCAAGCCCTGGTACCGTTGGAGGAACTTGATGCCAGAGTCATACAGCTGGCTCTCGCCAAAGGGAGTCAGGTCATCAGCTCCAAGGGTATACTTGTAGTCTTTTAGGAAAGCAAACTCGTCCTTGAACTCGGTGGCATCTTCCTGGATACGCTTAATCAGAGCAGAGTAGGTGGCGCTCTTGTCTGCTGTAGGGAACCGGGCGCCATGGCGCTGAAGAGATTGCGCGAAGGTGATCTTGCAGCCCGGAGGAATAGCTGACGAGATGACAGAGCGTCCTTCCAGAGAGAAGTAAGGGGAATACTGGCCCCAAAACTGAGAGTACTGCGGGAAACAGCCATATCCGCGGCTGGGAGTGCTACAGAACGAGGCCGCACCAATATTAATCTCAGCTGGTGTAGCAACGGCACTACTACCGAGTCAGCATATAGCCAGCTAATCAACACTTGGGGAGCCGTAGCTGAATATCAGAACCTACACCTGGATGCCCGAAATTGCCAGCGCAGCAAACAAGACAGAGGCCATGGACGACATCTTGCGACTGGATCTTAATACTCAGCTCGACTATTCACTGACCCTCCACAGCAAATGTGATGAGACGATCTCGGGCCTATTTATGTCTGCGCTGGGTATGCAACAAGGCCAGGATCAAGTACTAAGAAGCCGCCGAACAATGTCTCGCCCCCTCCTTTGTCTGCCTTCCATCACGAAGAAGAAGCAGAGGAGAAGAAGAGACAAGCATCTCTTTGGGCCGGACAGGATCGTCGTCGTTGTTTCTTTTGCTGTCGTACTCGTTTGACCCGCCGTGGAGGAGCCCACGCGCACAGGATCACAGTCTGATTGGCCAGTCGACTCATCCACCAATCGGAGGGCGACTGCGAGGAGCGCGGCGAAGCAGAATCACGGGGAGAGACCCTTGAAGCGGCAGCTGGAGAAGAGGCAGAAGATGCAGAGACGTAGCAAAGCACGGGAGTGTAAGGCAGACTGTCCCGGGTTTGTTGTCGAAGTTGGCGGGGAAGTGGACGAAAGCCAACGTTTGTAAGACGCCGAAAAGGGAAGAAAAAGAAAAAGTAGACGCCAGCTTACATAATACGCGTTTAGGGCGGTTGAAGATGCTCGGGCCGAAAATTTATCCGAGTAGGCGCAGCTTAGCTAAGTGACCCACAACCTTATTTTTCACGTGATATCGTATTATGTAATATGTTAACCCCTTTTTCTCCTTTTGCTCGAGCGAGAGAGTCGAGATAAAGGGGGGATAGATAGAGAAAGCAGTGAGCTCCCGAAATATTTTCAGATAGCAGCAGTACTAGACGTTAAGAAAAATCTAGTAACGATGAATATGTGGCATGACTAAGAAGAGCGAACTAGATGGAAGCCTGATTTATGCAGCTGCAGCTATCCCAGGTCCATGGAACTCGGTGCAAATAGCTTGGAGTCTCGAGCTTTCTCTGCCCCGTCCCGTCGCTGCATCCTCGTCTTGGCCCTGCAGCTTGCAGCTTCGGAAGACCGGTTCTGACGCGGCCTGCTGTGTGATGTGATATATAGGGCGTCTGACCATTCCCCTTTTCTGTCCTAGCTGTATTCTTACCCACTTCAAGCACATCAGATGTGGTTTGCTGGACCCAGCCCTTTGGGGGAACCAAGTCATGTCAATAGCCGATGGCAACAAAGAGAAACCTATCGAGAAGGTAACCTTAGACAAAGAAGCTCTCCTTTCTGTTCCCTCCTCCCCCCCACCTTCGGCTACGGAGGTGGATTAGCTTTCGCTGAACTGCAGAGATAGTTAATTGACACACCTCCTTTCGGCAAAACTTACGGTGAAAAGCCTTTTGCCCCTTTTCCAACCCCCGCCAGTTCGGCCAGGGCTACCCAGTAACCAAACCCATGGTTCGAGAATGGTCCCCATGAGAACGAGAGACAAATGAAATTAAGATGAAAGAGAAAGAGCTAGCAAATGAAAAGGAGATGGTTTAGGTGTAGGAACAACATTAGTTAAATAGCCCAATTTCGTAAGGAAATGATACCAATTATTATAATAAAAAATGACAACAAAAGATGCATCAACCAACAGCAAGAGATACACATGCAACAGATGACTCCTGACGGTTTTAGATGACTATTGGTTACATATGAAACAGTATATAGAAGCGAGAAATGAAATAATAAAAACGAACACCACCGCCCCTTCCTTCCCCCCCTGGACCAAGGCCATTCCGCCCCCCACGCTAGTTATCAGTTATGGAACGGAAAATAACACTGTTAAAGTAGGAAATAAACATGCCAAATCTGCCGCGTGTTTTCTTTCCTTTCCCTGTCTCTCTCGTATGTCACTTCTTGCTCTTTCTCACTGGTTTCTTTTGCAGATCGTTTCACTGTCTTCATGCCCCGCGTGAACATAAAAATCAATCGTGCGTGATTGATGGCTGCTGATATCGACCTTTCGTTTTTTTTTACTCGCAGATGTGGGTTGGTGATTATCACCGAACACACCGGAGAGATAGGGCAAGGAATAAAAACAGACTGGGGTGGCAGGAAAGGAAAATCTAAAGTAACTCACCCCGAATAAATAGATAGACAGATGATTGTAGAATGAGAGGACTGCAAATGAAGAGAAAAACCAGAGTACAAAAAAAAGTAAATAAAAAAAAAAATGAAGCATTGTGCCACCCTGGGTATCAATACAAAGAGGGTTGAAAGATGGAAGAGGTAACAAACAAGAAGATATCAACTCAGCCTAGTGAGATGAATAAATAGGAATAATAGTCAGAGTAGAAAACTTCGCAGATTGGCTGCACTCCATCCCGATCAAAAAAGGCATCAATGTCATTTTGATAGAGCATAGGGGTCATTACCATACCTTGTCTTTCGATAAGGTAACCAGAGAGAAATAAAAAGCGGAAAAGGAAAAACGAAAGACATCAAAAACAGAAAGTAGTGTACGCCGAAACCCTTATTAGGGCAGGGCTTCCGGAAGTATAGGAACAATAGAAAAAGATGCAAAGACAGGCCAATGAACAAAAGCGAGTATATAGAATAAGAAAACAGTTTGACGCCTTCCAGCAGAGGTTGCCCTCTTCCTACCATAGTAATATTGTAAGTATGCTGTTCCCAGGGCAATTTGTAGCCACACTTCCTACCCAAGCATGTTTATTAAAGATGACCGAAGCTGAAAAAAAAAAAAAAAATGGACAGAGTTGGAGAATAATAGGAGCTATAAAAGGGGGGATGATTTTAGGGAAAGGAGGATTAGGTGCTCTCAGGGAATAATTAGTTGATATTGAGATTAGATCAAAAGTATATGAGATCTGCATATACAGGTATAAGGTATCGGTTAGAGATCCAGCTCCAAGTCGATAAAGTGGAATATTGGCCCTAGGCTTGTGACCCTCTTATTCACCATCACTGTTCATGTTGGTGTTGTTGCTGAGGGTGTGGAAATGGTGAACCTTTCTGTTGTTGTTGGCTCTCATGTGGATTGGTTTGAGCTGCTGGTGATGTGGTAGACGTTATGTCTCCAGGTTGGGAAGTGGTATTCACAGAAGGCGCACGCCAGGTCGAAGGGTATGACAATGGATAGGATGGAGCAGGCGGTGTTTGAGTAGAAGGGGATATTGTTGAAGTAGGGACGAAAGGACTAGGAGTCTGAGATCCTGGGTATGGTAGATGGATTGGCCCGGCCCCAATTCTCTGCCTAACGTTACGCCCCCCTGAGCCTCTCCCTCTGTCGTCTGGGTCCACCGAAGTGCGCTCCCCTTCATCATCTGAGGCAAGGGAAGTGGCCCGAGATTTAAAAGTCCGAGGCGACGGTGGCCGTTGGGGTATTTGGGCACCAGGGGTCCTTGAATACACATCCCGGAAAAAGTTTCGCTCTCTAAGATAGAAATCTCTTTCCTCGGTAAGACTCCTGATCTCCTCTTCTTGTCTTCTAATGGTCTGCATTTGTTCTTCCTCCACGGCCTTCTTCCTTTGTCTAAACCTTTTGGAAGCACTGCTATTCTTTTCACGTTTTATCTTGGCTTTTATTGATCCGGAATCTGTGTCAAGAACGAGGGGTATGGACCAAGGAGGCACGTTTGCAGGATCCCCCGTACGGTCTCCGAAAAGTGACTGTGCTATGGCGCTCCTGGATGACCCAGACATAGCTGGATTTGATATGGGAGCAGGATGCTGATGTTGTGGCTGAATGTGAGCCGGCGGAACTGGAGCGGGTGATGCCTGGCTGAATGAGGTATATGATGATTGAGGGGTGCGTGGACTTGTCTCTTGAGACTGGGGGTTAGTCGGAGGTCGCTGGTCATAGAAAATATTCGCAGCGTGAGTTGTACGGCGAGGCTGGGTTAATCTACTGGGAACCGTGGAGGAAGCAGATTCAACATTCAACCTGGGAACGCCCCCTGCAAATCTCGGAGGCGGGGGGGACTGTAGAAATGGCGATTGTATTGCATTGATGGTACCTGGGACAGGAGGATATCGCCCGCTTCCTAAGCTTGCAGCGCGAACAGCGGGTGACTTTGGGGTTAACATCCTCCGTTCGACCCTTGGCGACATATTAAAGGTTTCATAATGATAGTGCCGTGTAGGCTGTGCTGGAGGTTGGACTGGAGATGGCGTCCCATGGATATGCGCAGAGGGAGATGTAGCTGTGGATGTCGGAGATCCTAGTGGCTCCCGGCTACCTTGACGTGAGATTGGTTCCGTCGGAGAATGAGTCGATGGATTAAGGATGGCCTGCATCCCTAAAGATCGAGACCGTTGCTGAGATGCTACATTCTGGCTGGAAGGTGTCGGTCTTCTAGTATGCACAAGCTCTGGAGGTGTCTCATCGCCTCTCATCGACCCCGACCGATTAGGAGGGAGCCCTTGAGCGCCATGCTGCACTTGTGGATCTACCGTCTCAACTTCATCTTGCGTAGGAGCTGAACGGCTGGTGGATGTCAGAAGTTGGCTGACAGGCTGGGAAGTCTCGTCGGAAGGAGAATTTGAAGCATAGGGCCGCTGCGACATAAGATTTTGTTCTCCTCCGAAGGGAAGTTGACCTTGGAAGTGGCATGGACGGTCCTTCCCTCTCTCCAAAGGACTACGGCCCTCGTGTAGCTGAAATTGAGAGAGGGAGGAGGGAGGACTAGGTAGGAAGTCGCCTGGACAATGATCACGGTTTTCAGGATGGGGAGACAGTCTTGAAGATGTCGACCCTGAGTAGCCGAGGTGAGAAAGGCTTTGGGAAGTGAGGAGAGCCACGGTGAATAGAGGGTAAAGAGGTCCCCTAGACCTAGATATAGCCAAGTTTCACAGAGGGAGATTCAGCGTTTTCTTCAAGTAGTCGGCCTTCTTCGTTGTCGTAGTCAAGCACCTGATACAGACGGCATAGACAGCTATCGAGCTCGGTGTCGTCCCACGTCGAGAGGAGGAACAGGTGGAAATTGGTGGGATAGTCGACAAAGGAATAGCCTGTTGGCAAACGTCGACTGTATAGTGAGTGATTGGGTATTGGTCTCTTCTTTCAGGAGTACGGAGTAGAGAATATTCAACAGATGCAGGTCATGGAAAAGTAAAGAGGGCGAAGCATTCAAATGAAAAAGAGAATGAGACAAGCACCAGAACTGAGGATACGAGAGGGCAGCCCTTCCATAAGGAACTTGGGACGATTGGCCATTTGCTTTTTCCTCATTATGATGAATAAGAAAATGGTCCTCCCAGATAGAAATGAAAAAGCTCCGCTATGATCTAGCGAGTTAAAGGCAGCTTTCATGGGACCGGGCGTACCGGAACTATCCCATTACATGGAGGGATGGGTACCCAAGATTCGTGCATAGAATAACAAATTAATCGTTATCGTCAACCAAAGAAAAAAATTAAAAATAAAACGGCGTGCAAATGAAAAATAAGGGAATGTAAACAAAAACTAAAATAAAAGAAACCTACCAAACAAGTCACAGGCACTGTCGCTCCGCCAGCTTGGTAAAGGGATGAGAATGGTGGCCCGCCAGTGGAGCTCAAGGCAAGCCTCTGCGCGGCGACTATTGGTCCGTTCAACCCTTGACGTGCTGGAGACTCGTTGTGCTTGAGTCAAATCCAAAACTGGGGGGGCACTATTTTGCGTTGTACAAATGGTGCTTTTTATTTTGGCATGCTGGGCAGCAACCAGGCTGGTGCTGCGTTGCATGGTTGGTCGTATCTTCAAGGTTACTAGCTGTTTTCTTTCAGGTGCTGGTCGTCCGAGTGGGCCTTGCGAGCCCCAGTGGAGAGAGTTCCCGAGGCGAAAGGCTAACGGCTGAGGATTGAGTCCTGCTTCGTAACTGGAACCCAGAGAGCGGCCAGAAGCCAGCAGATCAAGAAGATAAAAAGGCTGGACACGCGGGCAAGAGCGATGACATCCCGCACAGCGCAAACCAGCCCTGGGGGCTCCCGTGGAGGTTGACTGTGCAGTAACCATAAACTCGAAGGATTTCGTGTCGAATATTTGCCAGGGAAGAGGATACGGGGAATCTCAGTTACCATTGGTGGCTGTTGCTGTTGCCATGGCCCGTTGGGAGCCCTTTTCTGTGCCCTGTTTAAGCCAGTCTAAATACCCAAGAACAATCCTGTACCATCCAGCACCAGAGCTGCAAAGTGGAAACAGTTGGGCTGCCAATGAGTGCTGGTACTAGTGGGAGTTAGCTTTCCCTGGCTCATGTTACGAGAGTTTCGATACTTCGTGGAAGAAGGGAAGTATCAGATTCCGTGCTTTGTTCTGCGAATTAACGTGGTGAAAGTCCCTGCTGGACAAGTAAGGAGATGTAAGGGCATGGAAGTCCTGGTATGGAACTCATCTTCTCTCCACCTCATTCAAAGAAGACAGAAACTGTCGAGATTGGCCAGGCTGAATATGCTGATCGTGACAGGCTGCCATGAGATTTCGATGCTGGCAACATCCCTGCTGAACGTGGAGAATAGCTCAGCAAGAAAGGAGCTTAGAAGCTCGGGTAAATGGCTCGAAACAGACAAAATTACCACATCAAAACCTCTGGATGGGTAAGAAAAGCAAACCATTTCCACTCCTATTATGAGCCCCAGCCTGTCTTGCCGTTTCCTGGCACTCCGGAACTGCGCTTGGCTTTGGTACGAATAAATGTGCCTCCAAGAGAGAGAAAATACACGTACCTAGATGCCGGTACCCCTGCCCTAGCTCCGTACGGAGTACATCGCCTGAAAATTACCAGCCATACAAATCTGCTTGGATGTTTTCGTTACGAAGCGGAAAGATCTGGGCATGACTTTCGCTCCATCCATACTCAGGCGTAATTTATGGAGAGCATTATTGCTTGAGCGACCGAGTTCCACGTAATCGAGTCGGTTGGGGTGAAACATGAAATCGTAGAATACATTTAACAACCTTCTTGAAATACCATCAGCAACGCTCGCCCATGAGGGAACTATGCATAGTCTTCAGGGCACTATGCGCAGATTATGGTGTATCATGGGCCCACAACTTCCTCAAAATACACACAGACAAAAATGTCCATAAGGGTAAAGGATATAAAGTGTGCTGGAGAAGGAGTGGCACTCCTCACTTATTAGCCTTGTTCATACTCCTTCATTGTTTGCGGGGAGGGTTACAAACTTCTCGAGAAGATCTTGCTTGGGGGATCTTCATGTACTTGAGATATCTCCCCTAGCCCTCAATAATGCAAGATCCGCGCTATCCATTATGGTCAATATAACCATGCTCCACCAGCCTTATTTTTTAGGGCCGACAGTTTTGTTTTGTTTATCCCAAAAAAAAAAAAAAAAAAAAAAAAAAAAAAAAAAAAAAAGAAAAAGAAAAGGTCCGATCAGGATGTTGTGTGGAGGGATTGATTCCAGAAAGGAGCCGATGTTCTGTCCATCTTTCAGGGTTCCAGGGGCTTTCAAACGGAATTTTCTCTTGGAGGGAGCGGGCTTATGCTCCATGCTCTTCGGCACGCGCTCCCGCTAGAGAGAAATGCCAATGGGGGCCCCATTAAGCTAATGCCATCGAGCAACGACCAGGACTATCCGCTCCTTGATGCTGGGTGCGCAGCGAGAAGCGGGTGACACTAACTGGTGCAGAACATCCTGACGTGGTTCGATTGCTGGCAATATGCCTCTGCTCCTGTGATCGCCAACAGATCTTCAGCTCTTGGATTCATATCGCCGAGGATCTTTGCCTGGCAACCCCGGCAGGATCTGGAACCCACACATTAGTTTCTATTCATGAGCGAAATCATTGAGATCATGCAAGATCGAGATCGGGTTGGATATCATTTTACCCCCCAGCGCGTGGTAAGTGAACTGATAGGTGATTTCGAGCAAGGGCGGATCATGGATCAAGTCTTGCCTGTTACGGAGTTCTTGTCTCTCATTCACTCAGCAGCCACACGCATTCTTTGTTAACTAATGGTTCTCTGGGAAGTATCATTTCACCGACCGTAACCCTTCACGAATCACACGGGGCGAAGCATGGGTTCGGGCCCGGCTTGAGCTCCGTTCCTCTATTATTAGTTTTGCATCTGGATATATGTGTTAGTATGCAAAGTAACCTCTGGAAACGACTGAGCTGATGCTAGCTTGAACCCAGGGGTTTTCTCGTGTTTTGACCTTGTCTTTTTTCCTTTTTCCCCCCTCTCTAAGTGTTTCTTTTTCCTGTATTTTCCTTTTTTTTTTTTTTTTTTTTTTTTTGCGCCCTCCTCTGCATTGCTAGTTATCCTGGCATTATCGTGGGGTTCCCCGGCTGCCTCAAACAACTGCTCATCTCGGCTTTTGTGCTTGCTCATGGCTTGTATCTCGTCCGCGGCGGAGTTGACGTTGATGTTTGATATGAAGTTTTCGTTGACGTTAAAGTAGACGTTCTTCTGCACGGACCACTTTCCTCCCGTTTTGGATAAAGAGACCTCCATCGATGAAAAAACACTTCGGAAAACAGCGAAATACACCAAAAATTACACAGGAAAATAAGTACTGAGAACTTGGAAGAAGAAAACATTGCATGAAGGTCAATTTGATAGTTTCTCCCCTTCCCCCTCCCCCCTCGCCTCCCGTATATGTACTCCAGATCGTGCAAAAAAGCAACGCAGAATGCAAGTCAGGATGTCCTTTTCTTCAATGTCATGCAGCTGCCCTGCAACTCCGGCCAAGCGATAAACGAGAGAGAAGTTGGGATCAAGGCCTCGAAAAAGGCCGTGTGAACAAGGGATGCAACAACGTTAAAGCCAAACAGCCGTCTTGTCTCTCCCACGTTCTGCCATCATGCATAGCTATCCTATGGTGTGAGTGTAGGTGAAGACCGAGTCCGATATAATAAGGACTAGGATCAGACGGGCGAAAGTGCAAAAAGAAATGATTGAAAGTACAGAGTAAGTCAGTGAAAATAGAAGCTCGTTGTTTCGGTTTTTCTTTTTCTTTCCCTTTCTTTCTTTTTGTGATTTCGACTTCGAGGAGTTATTTTATCACCATCATTAATTACAGTTATTGCTACTTTCTCTTTAGCACCTTCACCTGGTTTGCGGAGTCATCGCAGCGCAGAGTTAAACGAGCACCACAGGAAGACCAAGAAGTTCTGCACGTCGATCAGAACATTCCATTCTTAGCTGGGCTGATAAGTAGCGAGCGGGACGTTCAGCTTGTTCTGCCGCCTGCATGGCTGCTCTCTGAACAACACGATATCAACACCCTTGCCAGTCACTCACGTCCTTCCGTCTCACTCAACGATGGTATACCCGAACTGCCTATAGAATGGTATCCGACTTGTTCGTGGCGCTGCGGAACCCAAATCCCGAGACTTGGCAAAAGGTGATCAGCTTGAGGACCAAATTCGCAGGGGAAAAATAAAGGTAGCGATCCTATCAAATGGCAATTCGAGCGCCTGCATAACCTCTTCAATTTTCAAATAACGGTAGAGGCCTCTTGCATGAACAGCGGTGATTGGATGCGTAGAGACTCCCGGCATGTCAAGGCAAAAGATAGGCCTAATTCCGCGATCATGTGCCTCTTTTCGTTCGGCACCGCAATCCTGGAACAGGGACTCAACGGCGCCGTACTAGTGTTTGCCCTCTGGCTTGATCCACAGCTCGTCGTGAAAAAGTAGGGGGTTAAGAGCTTGACTCGTACTCTGTATGGCTATGGAGTAGCGGCGGAGTATCCTTCATAGAGAATTGAGAATAAGTTGTTATTATGGATGCTTCTGGCGATCATCCGAAGGAACAGAAGCCAAAAATCCTGTCTCTGAAATCTCCACCGACCCCATTCCACCAGCCCAGCTTGCCGAAAGTCTGCCAAAATACGACTCCAGAGCTCAACGGACCGCTCTTTGTCTCTCCCGCTCCAGCATCCGCCTTCCGGGTAATTACGAGAGTTAGCGTGGGGAGACATTCCAAGGGAGAGCTATACCAACAACTATATCATTAGGTAACATCAAATAATGAATGATGCATGATATAACAAGGGTACAGATTATCCTCAGTGGGATACGCTCCCCATCATCCAACCATAAGCTTTGAAGGTTGAGAGTCCAAACAAACTAGAAAAAGGAAATCCTCTTGGGCTGTCATCCTCAAATCCTTATCCCTTTCCAGCTCACCCATCAGAAACCAAGTGTCGTTTTGTTCCCCCAATCTTTAGCACAAGCCAACCAGCGGTTGATCAGTGCGATACGAGTTCACCAAACCATTTCAGGAATCTGTATCCTCACCTCACCGCCTACCAGGGGACTGGCTGGCTCATTCTTGAGGGAGGTGGGTGGGCAAAATAGACAGGGACAAGGAATAATACATACTAAGTTCCCATACATAATCACCAGCAGCAAGAAAAATCTCCGGCTTACATTTTCTCTTCACAAGAGAAGGATATCGGCAAATGCCCGTGAACAGACTGACAACCACGAAGGGCGGACTACGGAGTACTCCGTGCAGGGGACAGTGTCGAATGCCCCCCGAGCTCAGGCCAGAGTGTATGGAGTACACCCCTTCCACGTTCCGCAGTTTGGCATGGTATCGAAAGGTAGGGGTCTTGCACATACATGATGCAAGACGCACATAATGCATATGCATGATGCAAAATATCCGTGTGTCCAGGATAGAGATCTCAACACAAGCATCGAGTTCATACAGTCCATCATGCATCACGGACTTGAAGGGGAGTACTCGATATGGAGCACCTCCATTTCTCATTTTGATACGGAGTACTCCGTACAAATTTCATAACTTGGGTGAAAGAAAATATAAACTTCATCCTCACTCTAACCTCAGTTTCACAAACCTTCCCCGTTTCTTTTTTATTTTTCACTCTGCTTCCTTTTTTTTTCCCTTGGACCCCGACCCATGGCAGACTCATGTCACCAAAAACAATACAGAGTACGGAATAAATTACGCGAGCTCCAGGAACGTCAGGGCTAGTCCCCGAGCAACTATCGATTTTCCTGTGTCGATTAGGGCCTATAGCCTGGCCAGAACAAACAATCATCATCAGCTGGTTAAGATCTACAGGGCCGCCGCCTCACGCAACGAAGCAGGAAGGGCTCGCTCCATCCCCATAGTGACGCTGCATGCCCGACACGCAAGACTGCTGCTCGTTTACGCACCCTCAATCGCTTTGCAAACGGGTAAGTTTTCTTGAAGCAAGAGCGATCCTTCATCTCGGGAATTAATGAAGCTGATTATCTGAATCTGACGTCCATGCAATAATACGCACCTGGCGTTGCCACTCTCACCGTTAATTCACTCTGGTTGTACGGAGTATATACTCCTTACACGTGATGTTTAAGGGAAGAACTTCGGCTAAATTGAGCCAATTCAGAGGGGAATTCGGTACCTTGCAATATTTGGGAGTTGCGTGAAGAAAAATTCAGGTATGGAATTGCGTCGTCTTAAAAATTATAAAAAAGAAAAGCTTGCGGATTGTGCTTGTTTCCCCTCGCTATGCAACGAACCTTGTCAAAATCACAATTTCAAGTCCTTCAAGAGCTGACAGAAACCTTCCCTGTCAAGTTACTTCCGCGGAGGGGATTATGGGATAAATAGAACATAAGGGGTTGTTTTTGCTCTCCGTCTCAGCACGTATGGGTCACCGAAGGCGGAATCCAGTCATGATGGATGCTTTCTCGCAGTAGTATAGGCTCAATAACAGGGGCCTTCTCTAGATCCAGTAATCTCCCGAAGAGATATTCCATTTGAACGAACACATGGAGCTCTGGTCGACGAGCTGACGCGCCACGGTGGCTGATAAAAATGGCTTTCTTTGCTTCCTCAGTACCTTATGCCATACCATATCATTGGTAGGTTATCCCTGTTCTCAATCACCCGCGGATTCTCAACAGGCCAACCTCAGCAGCTAAAACAGCGTTCCCAGTCTATATACGGAGTACGGAGTCCGAGTTTCTAGCTCATACTATCTTTCCCTGCGCACGAAGTACGAAGCAGAGTCATTTCAACCAACCTTTGGATCGGGCGGGAAACCAGAGCAATTCTCCAGCTAGTTACGTCCTCCAAGCCGTCAGCTCGATACAATCGGCGCCCATCGTCTAGAATTCTTTTTTTTTCCTTTTTCCCTTTTTCTTTTTCTTTCTTTCTTTTTTTTACCTTACCCATCATTCCACCTCATCAGTTAGCCTAAGTCATCGTCAGTGTACGGAGTGCTGTGATAGAGCCTGGTATATCATGGGAGGACAGAGCTGCCAATCGCTACCTGTTCCAGGAACCCTGCTAGAGGTTTTCCGTGGAGGATTTCAGGACCTTGATGTCTGCTTGCCATATTTTATACCACCAAGCTCGGAAAGTCTCCCCTAATTCCTGGCACGGGAGCTTGCTTGGCTCTCATGCCGTCTCCTTTTACTTGTTTGTTATCGAAGAACTTTCGTCTCTTTCCTTACCGAGGCGATATTTCTTGCTATTATTTGAGCTCTGTACTCCATACTCCGTATGTCCATCCTCGGGGACATGAAACAAAACCGAGAGTTCAAGACATTTTCTCGTCCCGTCCCAAAACACGCTTTCGAATGATTGGAAAATCTCGAAATTGATAGCTCTGATAACTGTAAAATCCCGAAATGACCAGCCTCGTTTGATCAAGGCTTATACGAAGATGATCACAGTCCAGATCATGCGACTTCACCGGAGGAACTGGAAGTGTTACAGGTCTCCATTCCCACTCCATCCAATGTCTGTTCACACCACTCCCGTCTCCACGCCGCACAGCCGAAGTTTGGGAGACGGGAAGGAACGTTGTTTCGTTCCCTGGTCCCTGGCGCCGGGCCACCTTATTTAATTTAGCCTAACTCAATATCTCCAGCTCGCCCCCTAACCAGGTACACAGCCCTCTCTTTTCCCTCCCCTTTTTCACTCCTCAGTCAGAGTGAGCAAGTAACCATTGGCCAGAGCCTTGTTTGCTTGACCATGGCCATGATGGGAACTATTTGTCCCTAACCCACCTCCTCGAACGCCATCGGGACGGTAGCTTTTCCTTTTTGGTAAACATCCCCGGCTGGCGTTGCCCCCTTATGCCTCCTCCCTGAAGGCTCAACTTACACTATCACTAATCGCCATCTTCGCTGTTGTCATGAAATAGACGGCCTTATTCTTGTGTTCCCGTAGACCGTTGCTTGTGATACTTAATATTGCATCTCACTTTCCCTCTACTCTCTTCGCCCAGCTGCAGGCCCCAGCTGCAGATATACCCCCTTCCATAGAGTATTATTATTACTTCAAGCATGCCAGGTCCTGGTGATCCATCCCTCTTGGTTTAATGATGTTGGTCGTTTGCGCCAGAGCTGCTCGTAGCGGAACAATCATTACGGAAACGAGCAAACGCTCCTTGTCTTCCTCCCCTACAACGACGACTTTAAGACTCCCTTCACTTTCCTTGCCACAGACCTCTTTAGCCAGTGCAACAATCAAGCGAACCGATTAATATGCTCGCCTGACACAGGCAACCCTTTGCGCTTATTCCGACTCGTGGACAAGATATTATGTCTGAACTTGTTCGACGCATGTCGTATCCATACATTCACCCCTCTGCTGTTGTCAATTTCTTTTTTTTTTCTTCCAGCTGGGACGCTGTGACTCGCTTTTCCCCGTCTATAATAAGGCACATAATGTTGGTTCTCGTGGTCGAACCCAGGGTATTCCTTGTTGATGCCACGCGGACAGAACATGGCGCCGCAAGTCAGTTGGGGGCGGAAGATACGCCTCTTCCTGCCATGCTGGCGTTTGTTGGAGGGGCTGGCGTGGTTCGCCCTTCTCCCGAAGAAGACAATGCAGGTTGCTGTATCTTCTTTCGTGGGTCTGCCTTTTGCTGAGAGATTTTCTGTGCTCAGCCCAACTGGCCGCACCAGATGGACGATTTGAGCCAATTGAATAGTTTGCCAATGCAGCTTGAACGGCTCGAGACGCAATCCAACCATTTAAACAGAGCTTCTGCCTGCAAGGTGCAAGTGATGACCGACAGTTTATGCATAAGATGCCGTGCAGCTCCAGGGTCGAGATGCATTAGCTGCACTTAGTGAAGCTGATCCTTGCAGCTAGTAAATTTCTCCTCAAAACACCCACCGGATGAGAGTGAAAAAATAAATAAATAAATAAATAATAATGCGGTAATGTTTTTTCCATTACAGATGCATCTTTTTTTTTTTTTCATTCCCACACGTGTGTATAGATGGAGTTTGCCATGTTGAAATATACCGCCAGAGACAGAGTATGCCGTACTCCGTACATCCTCCAGGATGAAAAAAAGGTCCAACGACCAACGATCAACGGTTGTGCAACGCAGGATGGATATAGTGGTGGCGACAGCTGTCCACCACGAATAGGTTTCGTTCCCTAACCCCTTGCGTCCTGCGTTCCTCTTTTTTACCTTTGACCTCAAATAACCAACCGGCTGTTGGCCCTTGGAGTCTATCAAAAACCATGATCCCCTCCTCCCGTGCTGCAGAGGGGGGGGGAGGGGGGTGTGAAGCCAATGCACAAGAGAACAAGCAATGGAACCGTTACACGATGCAAGAGCTTGCTGCAGGTGTCTCAAGCGACCCAGAAACCGGCCTGTATGATTTCTATATTTACTCGCTTCGAGAGTCTGGTGACGAGCGATAAAAGTCGAGTGTTTCTTGGAAGCTGACTTGCGCGCAAGCGCCACAAAATGGCCTGCCTGGTTTCTCAGCATCGGCCTCCTTGAAGCTCCATTCATCCATAGATCCGCCTGTGAGGGAGACGCCAACTCTTGGTAGCTATGGAGATGACTTGTCATTTAGCAAGTCACCAATTTAGGCCTGGAAAGGGACCCAGAAGGTGTTCTTGGTGGCAAGCTCCATAACGCCAGTCAGTACAGTTCGGAATTCCAAAAAGAAACTCAGGCTGCACTGCTTTGAGATCTTAGGGCCGCGAGCACAGTGTAGCATTATTGAGGAGCGTAGCAGCAATCTTAAATGTTCAGAGATACTTACCATAGCCATGACAACCGTGTTGGGGATATACGGATAAACGGGCTTCACGGGGAACAGGTAATACCTCTTCCCATTTCCGTGTTACGCTGGTTGGATGTCTCTCCTTGCAGTACGGAGAACGCCACCGATGGCCGTCACTAGGATTGAAGCTTTCCCAGCACCACGAAGCGGAGCACAAGTGATGATAGCGATAGCCGAGCCGGCAATGCAGAACCCCGTTTAGAATCTCCTCTGGTTTAAAAAACCATTTACTTTCTTTTTCCTCTGATCTTGCATCTTGTGCGTCTGATGACCATCTTGTTCTATTTTTGTGGTGTCTCCTGGCCATTATTCTGGTTCAATTCATTCCACCAAGATTCTGGAAGGTATCTCATTCAAGGGCATATTACGCATCCTTCGTTTATCCTCGGTTATCTAGACGATCAGCTGTGATGGCCGTATGGAAGCCATGGTACACAGAAAAAGAACCTATTTTTTCATCTGTTAGTGCCATGGGCAGGCACACTTCCACTTCGGTGTATGTATACATACTGTGGTGCCCCGTACTCCTGAAAGATTGCCGGAGCTGGCGGAACAAATAAGCTGCTACACTGTGGTTGTATAGCTATTATGACTGTATTTCATCATTAATGTCTGGTCCCTTTTGCTCTTTTGCTTTTCCTTTTTCGGAGAGAAAGGATCAGTGTGTTTGCACCGGGGAAGCAAGCATGGCGAAAGCTGCATGGCATCGTTTGATATCCAGCCTAGCTGCATGCATTGGCTGTGTTTGATTTTTTTTTTTTTTTTTTTTTTTTTTTTTTTTTTTTTTTTTTTTTTCTGCCTAATGCTTCGTACATGCATACGAACTGGACTGAACTGTTACGTTTCTGGCTTGCATATAACCAGCCAACTAACTGCAACGAGGCAGTGCATGAGCAGTAAGCGGTAAGCAATACGATGGAGTTATTTTAAGTCCATGTATTAACAGTTTAACAATTTCATCCGTCGTACAACCACTAGAGCTATTTAGAAGAATCTCCGAGATCGATTTGGACTTTGTCAAATCTACCTGCTCCCCGCAGCCTCGACAAGTGAACGAACAGCCCAGAACACGGAGTAGACTAAGATTATAGCCGAAAGCAGGCTAGTTTTAGCTGTCTTTTTTTTTTTTTTTTTTGGTTCTTTGATTGGTTTGACCTTGTTGTTTTCCGATTCAAGATGCGAAAAAATATGCGAGTGGCTCGCCTTTCACCGATTCTTTGCACTTGATCTCCGCGGCCTCACAATCTTGTGCCCATGTTGAGATGGACGGCTTTGACCTGGGAGTAAGCCTCGAGGCCCGCTTCGCCAAGTTCCCTTCCGACACCCGACTGCTTGACACCGCCAAATGGTACACGGAAGTCACTGTCGTTGCTGCTGTTGATCCAGACCATGCCAGCCTCGATACCACTGGCCACCCTGTGACCACGCTCGATATTTTGAGTGAATACCGCGGCACCCAGACCGTAAGTGGTATCATTTGCCTTGGCCAGGGCTTCCTCTTCCGTCTTGAAGCTGGTGACTACGGCAAAGGGGCCAAACACTTCTTCTCGGTAAATCGTCATGTTGTCTGTCACGTTGGTGAACACCGTTGGTTCAATGAAATAACCCTTGCCGTTGCCAACTTTCCGGTGTGGCACTCCTCCTGTAGCAAGTGTTGCACCCTCGGATTTGCCGGCCTCAATATATGAAAGCACACGGTCGTACTGGGCCTTGGTCACCTGCGGGCCCTGGAATGTGTCCTCTGCAAATGGATCGCCAATCTTGCTGGTCGACGCAATGGCCTCTTTGAATTTTGTTACGAACTGATCATAAATACCCTCGTGGACGAGTAGACGAGATGTGGCGGTGCAGACCTGGCCCATGTTATACATGATACCAGTATGAGCCCACTTTGCAGCCTGATCAATGTCTGCATCATCGAAGACAATCAGTGGCGACTTGCCACCGGTTTCGAGGGTGATGTTCTTCAGGTTAGCGGCAGCCATTTTCATAATAGCACGGCCCGTTGCTGTAGAGCCGGTGAAGGCAACTTTGTCGATACCGGTGTGGGATGCAATGGCGGCCCCGGCCTCCTTACCGTATCCGTTGAGGATGTTAACAACGCCAGGGGGGAATCCTGCTTCCTTCACTAATCCTGCAAGGTATAACACACTCAGAGGAGTCTGTTCCGCAGCTTTAAGAATAACTGTGTTTCCACATGCCAAAGCTGGCCCAAGTTTCCAGGCAGCCATTGCCAAAGGAAAGTTCCACGGGATGATCTGGCCCACGACGCCGATGGGCTGGCGTAACGTGTAGGCAAACTTATTGGCAGTCGTGCTGATAGTCCTACCTTCTATCTTGTCGGCAAATCCGCCATAATATCTCAAGACAGATACAACTTCAGTTACATCGTCGTTCAAGGAGACCAAATATGGCTTTCCTAGGATCGTAGTCATGTAAGAGATACATTTCTATTGCGCTTGCTTTAAAAGGAGCTACCCCCGAGTCGACGGGTGGGACAAGGCTCTGAGGGAATAACGGAAGAGGGAACAGCACATACCGTTATCCCACGTTTCAATAGTGGCCAAAGTCTCTGCATGTTGCTCGACGAGCTCAGATAGTTTGACCATCATCCGTCCTCTGTCGGAGCCCGACAAATCCTTCCATGAGGGATGTTTCAAGGCTGCTCGGGCTGCGTTGACGGCGATATCAACATCCTCCGTTCCGGCAGCATGCACAGTGGCAATATCTGTCTCATCACTGTTCATTGGGCATCAGCATCATAATCTAGAGTCTTCTGCGTTTATTTTATTTTATATTATTCTTTCCAAGGGCTTAAAACATGGTTCGTACGTGGGATTGACTGATACAATCGTCTGCCCTGATTTGGCGGCAACAAACTCGTTGTTGATGAATAGTCCCAATGGCTGTGTGTACTTCCTGCCATTAGGCGCTGTGAGCTCTGCAGATAGGCCAGACATATTGTAGGACACTGGGTTGGAGGAGAAGAATCTGTGGCCTGTTCGTCTCTGGCGGGGGACTAGTTGGTATAGTTGACTGGGATGTGTATCTCGCTGAAACAACAGAGTAGGCCTAGACAGACGGGCAAGACGAGAGCAGAAGTGTTCTACCAGTGGCCAGGGACCGAACATATATTGCGTATGCAGTGTAGTCAATAGAAAAGTAGATGTCGAGGACGTCGAGTTTGATGCCGACGTCGTTGGTTGTTGCTGCTGGTGACGATGTTTTGGTGTTTCATCCAATGGATTTATTTGCCTTTTTTGCCCCTCCGGGAGTCGCAGCCGAAGTCCCGCAGCTAAACAGACACCGAGCCAGCTGCGGGAACCTCATGCAGGGAAGACGAGGGCAGGACACGGCGTAAAAGGCAGAAAAAGAGCGACGTTCTGCAGCATACCAGGCAATTGAGCTCGGACTATGGACCGCAGTGACCGGAAGACGGCGGACGGGCCCGGGGACGCTGGTGCTGGTGAAGGGCAGCTCCCCCCGGACAGGCTGGTTGACAACGCTGGCGCCGTGGAATACTGGAAGACGGTTGAACCCAACATCAACGGCATGCTGGGAGGGTTTCCTGGGATCTCAAGGGCGGATCTACTCTCCTCCCGGTCCTTTCTGGCCAAGGTACGCCGTCTGCTGCCATCAATTGGAGGAGGGACTGCTCTGGGTGCTACGGCACATCTGCCTCCACTGCAGCTCGGTGTTGACTGCGGCGCGGGCATTGGCAGAGTTACTGAAGGGCTACTCAGCAAGGTGTGCGAGGTAGTGGACATTGTCGAGCCGGTAGAGGCCTTTGCCAAAGTGCTGATTGAAGGGAGGCTCAAGGCGGAAGGGAAAGTCGGTGATGTCTACATCACTGGTCTGGAGAACTGGGTGCCCGAGAAGAGATACGATCTGATATGGATCCAGTGGTGTCTGCTCTATCTCACAGACGACCAAGTTGTGCAGCTTTTGACCCGGTGCAGAGATGCGCTCTCGCCGTCTGGCGTGGTCATTGTCAAAGAGAACCTCAATACCAAGCCACACGATACCTTTGATCCGCAGGATAAAAGCGTCACTCGCGCCGAAGAAAAGTACAAGCACCTTTTCCAGAGATCAGGCTATTCAATTATAAAGGAAGAAGACCAGCTGGGTATTCCTCAGCACCTGAATCTGCTTCCCGTGAAGCTATTTGCACTGTTCTGCGAGCCCGACACACCCTCCTCCACTCAAAACCAACATTAAATTCGGTCGTCACAATATATATATATATATATATAATCCCTTATCAAATGGGGTAAGACGTGCGGGCCCACCTTCAGATTATTGTACATATCTTTTGGCGGGTTATCATGGCTGAAAGGGGGGGGGAGAAGAAACAAGCAGGGGTGTTATCTATTGGCTATTCTCTCACAGGCTCTTCTTCCTCTGCCAAACTCATAAGGAAGTTCCACTGCTCTGCTGTCACAGGAGACACACTCAGACGAGATTGCTTAACCATTTGGAGATTCTCCAATGCACCACCAGGCTTTGCGTGAGACTTGATATCAGCGAGCGTAACCAGATTTTTGAACTTGCTTCGAAATTGAACATGGACCCAATCCCACTTAGGGTTATCACGACTGGACTTTGGGTCATAATACGGGTGTGCAGGGTCAAATGCGGATTCTACATGACACATTAGCCCAAGGCTGTGAAACTGCAATGTCAAGAAAATAGGTTGATAATTGGGAGCAATACCGTCTACTGAGCTTTCTCGAACGATTTCCATCGTGCCCGCAATCCCGGGGACCTTGCAGTTTGAGTGGTAGAAGAAGGCGAGGTCTCCTTTCTTCATCGCACGCATATGGTTTCTTGCTGCGATGACGTGGGTGTTAATAGGAACTACGTGCTGTACAAGCAGAAACCAAAACACAGATATATAGCTTACCAGCTGGGTTCCTGACTCCTAAAATCAAAGTTATTAGTCTGGGAACCCATTATTATAAAAACAGGATATTTGCTTACCATCCCATCCCTCTGGCTCCGTGGCAGCACGCAAATCGTCAATTGAAAACCTCACGTCAACTCCTTTTTCAAGTCTTGTCTCCGGCTCTGCCTTCATGAGCCAATATGATTTTCTAACTTTAGAGTCTGCTTTGCTGGTACTCTTGGGCTTTGCATTAATGGTAGCTTTCTTTGTAGCCCGCTCCTCTCCCATGGTAGCTTCGACGTTTGACTTTTTTTCAGGGCGCTTTTTTCTCTCAGGGACAGGCTCGGGGTCACTGTTTGGACTCTTCACAGCCGCTATCAGCCTTGTCAGTAAGGTATCGTGAATATAATAGGTATGTATATACATATAAAGATAACATTGGCAAGCGGGTTAATTCAAACCTTTCATGTCTTTTGCGGACTCGAACTTGAGTTTTGAGCTCTTTGAGCGCTTCTTAGCATCATCAATGGCATCTTCTGCTACGGCTTTCTTCGCAGCCGTCGCAACACGCTTCGGTCGGGATGATGCAGCCGTCTCTTTTACAGCTTGTGCGCTGCCATTACGGCGTTTTTTGTGGTTGCTGGAGACGGCCTGCGTTGGCGCTTTCTGCGCAGTAGAACCAGGCATTGCGAAAGATACACAATCGGACACGTGAGTAAACCTAGACAGCAGGCAAAAATAAACAGAGTCTGAAAATCTATAGATGTAAAGAAATTGAAAAAGACACGATATTTAGAGAATCTTACGATCAAACACGTCGTTGGAAGCTTGCAGCGTGTCAATATAAAGACGTCACGTGGCCAGGACGAGGCGAGCGTCAAGACGACGGCGAGGTGCTCCAAATCAGCATTACAAGCAAACAAAAAAGGCGGAAAACACATATATTCTAGGAGCTGTATTCGATTCAAAACTACCTGCCAGGGTTGTGTGGCATCTATTGTGTTGGGTCTAGTTTGGGAGTATACATTCATTCATCATCCAGTAATGCAAAAAGGCCGAGCTTCCTCCTGGTTTATATACCGGTCTCTATGAGCATATGGAAGTGTGCCCCTAGTGCTGTCATTTGACAGAGAAGGGCCATCAGACTTCCTGGTAGTGCGGTGCGGCTAGGCAAGTAAACACCCCCTTGGTTATGGCTTACAAAGCCGGTGGCTCGAAGTAGGGTTGGAATTGAGTTGAGATGGTGTGTCAGTTGGGCATGATACAAATCGTATGGCCGTATGGACGGGCAGGCCAGGTCAGGAAAAGGGACTACTCAGTCGTTGGATTTTTTGGGGCTCTCCGTTGAAGAATATACAGCCTGTGAGCTGAATTCATTTACTCCAGGTAGACCCCTTGGTGACTTTCCATAGATGACTATATTGCAGTTGAGATTAGTCTTAGGCATGAATTGTATATCGAGAGGGTATTCAGGGCGGAGATCAAGCGGCTTCTAAAAAGGGTGTGTACCTCGTTGGTATAATGAAAAGCTTGTGTATAACAGGATAGGTAGCGCGACTATTGTCATGGTCCACCTAACGACGGGAAAGATCCAAAGTTAGCAATGTCTCTGGCAGTGTAGACAGGCATATCAGCGCACCTTCGAGCAGCAGATTTGTACTGTGGTGTTTGCTTTATATCCGGCTGCTTTGGAGCTCCACGCACGCCCATCCGTCCTAATTCCTCCTGCGTCCGGACAGTAAGTGATGACTTTGGCGGCGGGAGGTGCACATTTGGGCTCTGTTTGGACTGGCTTATGGCTTTCGCCAGCTCAGACGCTGGTGTCTTTCGTCTCGCTGAAGGCATATTGTGTAGGATGCCGAGTCGGCCTGGGGTTTGTGCGCAACTCGCAGCTCTGCAATAGCCGGCTCCTGTGCTCCAGATTCAGTTTGTTTCGCACTCGTCCTGACACCCTGAGTATATATAATCCAGTCTTCTCTCTCCAGCTAAAGGCTATCTTTTTTCGAGAGGTGCGACGACTCGTTGACTATTCCGGACTGTAGTTTTCGCGCTCTTTCAAATGGCCTGGAGCTTGATGGAGTTCTCCCTGGTATCAATGGTTAGAGACAATAATTAGAGAGCAGCTATTTATTTAGTATGACTGGTTGCGATTGATGGTGAATATGATGGAAAATCGCCAGAAATCTGTCGTTGTTCCAGACTCTGTTGATGGAGTCTTGATTTTGACACGACCAGCTTTAGTCATCACCACCCGTCTTGGCTAACTACAGTATCAAACTTCCATTCTATACAGAGTTCAATGTAGAAGTAAGAGGGCATTATCATGCCACTAATGAGAAAATGCATTATATATCTCTTGATCCGTTTCCCCCATAACTATATGAACAGTGAAATAGACGGTTATCTAACAAAATACAGGGCCATGATACCCTCGCTGGAAAAATTAGCAACTTGAGCCACGGCAAACTTGAACGGTGGAAACGACAAACGCCAGGTAAGCTTGTCTCAGGAGGCCATCAGTTGCGCCCCGTTGCCGGCAACAGGACGCAACCTCAGGCCTCCATGGCTGGCGAAGGGTTGGTGGGCTCGGCGGGCGACCATCTAGTGAATGATGGTGGGATGACGATGTACTCTTCGCCGTGTTCATTGACACGGCCGGTGTGCGTCCAGCCTTGCTTGTCGGTATGCGGGCGCGGAAGGTAGGGGCAGGCGAGCTCAGATGGGTCGGCTGGCCGACCCATCGTCGCTGCCTCTGCTGCCGTCGGGAATTGGGAGTAGAATTGGTGGCTGACAGCCACCAGGTCGAGCTCGACCTCTGGGATAAAGTCTGGCGCCATTGCTGCGGCAGCCAGTTCAAGCAGGATGGTTACTGCTTGTTCGTCCTCCTTGCTGAGGCGTGGTGGTGTCTGGGGCAGCCTGGTGGCTCTGCCCGTCTCGTCAGTGACGAGAATGGTTGGGATGGCTGGCATCTCAGGACGTGCTTCTGAGAAAGGTAGGTTGTTAGATGCATGATGCCTTCGTTGCTAATGTGGTGGAGGACCTGAACTTACCAGCCTCTTTGCCGGTATATGGCTTGATCGGCTCTGGACTCTCCAGCTTTGGCTGGCTCTTCTCTGGCTCCTTCTTGACTGCCCTCTTCCGGGGCTTTGCTTTGGGCTTTGTGACCCTGCTAAGTTCGGCCTCCCTGGCCTTGCTGGTTGGCTTTCTAGTGCGTGCAGACGTGCGCGCAGTGGCAGCGGTGGGTTTCTTCTTGGATTCCATGTCTGGCAAGGAGGAATGTGGTCGGGAGTCCGATGGCAAATAAAACGGTGGAAGCGGCGGAGGAGGGAGAGAGCTTGTAGATGTGATGGAATATGGCGAATGCTCTCTCAAAGGAAGTTCGTATGAAAGGGTAGATAGTAGAATGTAAGCTAGCTTCAGAGACGATAGCGAGAGCTGACGGTGAAGACGAGGTTCCTTTCCTGGTCGGCAAACTCCTGGACCTGGCGGAGGGTGGTGGTGGTATTTATGCCCATCTGGATTAAAAGTCCTCTGTTGAGGTGTAGCATCGAATAGACAATAGGATTGTGTTATGCCGATTGACAATCTTCAGTGTCATTGGACATTGAATACAGTGAAGGGGCCCCGAAATATATGTATAGAAGACAATAACATATGCAACATTCGAAGCTCCTTTATTGCTTGTCACAGCTGTGAATGCCATTGTAGATAGATAGAAAGAGGAAACAATTTTTTTTCTTGCCAATAGACAAGTACTCCTAATATTGGGACTAGAAGCGGAGGAGGACAGTATTAGGAGGAGAGTGGCTCCTATTCTGGCCTATTCTAGAGTAAAAAGATAGTCCCATTGTACCAAGCTGTTTCTTCCTATTTAATGAATACTCTACACTAGAAGCTAGTGTGTCATTTAGCAATAGAGACTGCTTCTATATTCCAGCATTTTTGAATAGTTTTAGCAAGCTGGCTATTTGAAATAAAGCGTTGTTTGAACCCGTCCGGCTGAGAAGCCGAATAATATTGCCATGTTTGCTCTGAAAACGAAGCCCGTATATGGTTAGCTAGAAGAACTCCGAGCCATTGACCAGATTTCCTATTATAAATCGCCCTTGTAAAGCTCATAAAGCTCATGTTGGATATCGCTCTTGGGTGAAATATAGTTTATGAAATGCCGCCCGCAGTATATTATTAGCATATATTCAGAAGATTGTGAGTATGTGTATCTTCAAACATGCTTATAGCCGAAGATATATGATCTAAAAGGGCGTGCAGTGAAGGGTATCATATCATCGTTGTTTGGCTGTTCCTGGACTTGACTGGTAGTTATTACTATGCAGGATCCGAGATACTCGGTAGTGTAGGGGGTCTCTTAGGCGAAAAAGGCTAGTTTCTTGGAATAATAGTTTCTTACTGTTGGGGATAGGCTGGGGCTTATATTCTAGTCTACCTCACGCCTAAAAACTCCATGCTAATCAGGCTGTTGAAGCTGCTGAAGCTGGCGTTTTTCGTGACTTGAAGGCTCGTTAAAAGTCGAAGAAAACGCAAGGGAAGAGCAAATGACTAAGCAGTTGTATATTACGTAATATCGCGATATCTGTCAAGAAGCAAAACAGCGAGAGGGACGACGTTGGCGATAACCGGATAGACTGCTCAAGACCAGTGAAAGACACTGCTAGACCTCGCGACAGGGCTTGGGGGAATATTTGCTCACTGGTTTTTCGAGTTTCCTTTTCCAGCCGGCCATTATGCGGCTTTTTGCAGCTCTCCGCCTCGGGCTTCTAGCTCTAGCTGCTCCAGGATTATGCGCCTCATCTGGATGGGGGTTTGCTGATGGCACACTATCTATCCATCAGAAGGGTGCTGGGATAGGTGGCGCCGAAAAGCACAAGTATGATTTTGCCAGCCATTGGAAGCATTGGCAGTACCTGTTGCCTTATTTGCTACCTATCTGCTAACTACCATCCCAGGCTATCACAAAACCAGCCGTTGGCTAAGACGATATCACTGAACGATGCAAGCACATTGAAGCTTCTTTTGACGATACAGGAGGATGAAGTTGCGGCAAGACCTCATCAAGCCTTTTTGACTCTCAGAGAAATTTACTCAGGGCTGGACATCTCATACCCACTCAATGTCAAGGGGAATGGAAAGGCTGTCGTCGAATTGGTCAGTTGAAACGAACAATAAATTGCATATACCAGACCATTTCTAACCATTATATCGACTGTAGAATCAGAAGGACCTCCCTGTTCAATTCCTCACTACCAAAACCCCAGTTGAAGCCTCCCTGTTGATCGCTTCCTTTGGTTCCTCAGGCGGCTATTACAAGCCCGTCTTTAAATTATCAGTCGAACATAAGCCGGACACCCCTATTCCCTCCTCAAAGGCTCTTAGATACGGCAAACTGGAAGAAATCCACCATACGTTCCGAGAAGACCCTCGCAGTCCACCCATGATTGTCTCCGTGTTCTTTGTCCTTGCTGTCCTGGCCACCCTACCGCTCCTTGCGATCTCGGTGAGTTTAGACCTCCAAACAATTCTATGCACGCTATTTAAGACGTACTAACAAATACTGATAAATACAGTGGCTTTACCTGGGTGCCAATGCCAACCACCTTTCCGTTGCACTGAAATCTGCACCCCTCCCCCATATAGTTTTCGTCGGGTCCATCGTTGGGCTTGAGTTGACCTTCTTCATGTACTACACGAGCTGGAACCTTTTCCAGACGCTACCAGTTGCCGCAGCCATTGGAGTTGTATCGATTATAAGTGGAAGCAGAGCTCTGGGTGAAGTGCAGCAGAGACGACTTGCCGGTCATCGATAGATTACCTGACATCTCCTTTTATTTACCAAAAACACTGGGATTATTGGTATCCCATGGCTATATACTGTCACTCTTAAACTCGTACATCCGATGTCAATTTAAACACGTGAATTCATATAAAATCGTAGTACAAGTCTAGATAAAACTTATCTCATTTCCATATTCAATTACTTTCCTCGCCGTCCCATTGGCCGACACATTCAAGCTTGCTCGTCGTACGAAAGTAACGTTAACTAAAACCCAGTGACATCACCAAATTTCAACGTCGCAGTCAATTTTCCTCTACAAGCTACAAACAAGAACAACAAACATAGCCGTACCTCACATATACAATGGGCACATCAGCCTCAAAACCAGCGCGCGCAGCAGCATCAGCTGCTTCCCGTCGCCAATATCCTCTCCGTCCCTCCCCTTCAACCACAAGCACACCCACTGCCTCTCCACCGCAGCCGCAGCCGCAAGCACCAACAGCCAACCGTGCAAACACACAAGGTCAAGAGAAAGCAAGCACCACGCGATCAGAAGGTATGTCGACGTATACATCGCACAAACATACAGAGTATACCATTACTAACTACGCTAAAAGCAATTGACCTGGATGCCCGGGATCCCGACTTTGCAGCCTCGCTTCGCTCCATAGGACCTGTAACTCCTACGCCCACACTTTCACGAAGCAGCACATTTAACCAGCCGAGGGGGCAGAATGTCTCACCACCTACGTCTGGAGCAATAAGTGAAGAAGTCAAGGCGAATCCGTCGTTGTTAACATTGATGTCGCGGACAAGGATATCTGCTGAGGCAGAGGCCGACATGGAGTCGTTGGGGAGAAAGGGTCACGGAGGACGTCGGTTTGTAGACGTTGTTAGTTTGAAGCAGATTATCTCCATGAGAGATACACAAGGGGTTAGCGAGGAGGTTATTGAGACGCAGTTTGGATTGAAGAAGGGGACTTTGGCCAACTTAGGGCCAAAGGGGGTGGTAACGGGATGTACGATAATGCTTACTTTGTAGTTGCCATGATTTTGGTGGAAAAGGTCATGTACGATATAACTAGACAATGGACGACGAAGCATGTATAATTTTGTTATATTATTAGAGACCATCCAATGGAACGTTTTTGGGTTTTTATCGATATGTAGAGATAAAGATAGAAGATAAAAGCAGCAATTCGA